TATATATTAACTCCTTAGTGTTTTGATCTATAACATACTTATTTTCATCTTTTTCAATAACCACTACGCGTAATTTCCTACAAAGTTTTATACAAATAACAATACGCATCACTGACTATTGATGAATCTTTATAATTATGTGCTTTCACATTATAATCCCTTTCAGTCCCACATTTTTTTTTATTGGTAAAAGAATAACCTAAAAGTTGGCGATAGGTGGTGTTGGCTAAGCTGTCACTTCTAACCCAGATTGCCCTCGAGTAGCTTGGCGCAAAATTCAACAAACAAACTAAGTACAGTTTGAAGAGGTCAAATGCACCTGACTCCCAGGCCTATAAGACCTAAACTCCGATAAAAGATTACAAATAGACCCTGTACTGGAAAAAATACTCAAGACAAATATTCAGTTTTAACATTGTAACCTTTTTTTCGACAGTATAATCTAGCAACTGCTTAAAAATTACACATCTATTGAAGAAAAAATACGTATTTACTTGATTTTCTTAAGTCATAGAATTAACTGGCTTCTTGTTTTCAATTAGATTATATCAGAATACATAATATTTTCAGCACGTATATCATTAAGTTTAGAATTTTAAAAACGAACTCAAATCCATGTGTAAAAGTAGTCATAGATCAAAGCAGCAAAGGGTAATGCTTAATAAATAATCCGTGCAAAAAGACTCAGAAAACTCCAACTCATATGTTTAATATAATCTCGTACTATGTAACACATTCCCCACATGTTCTTACCAAGAATAATTATAATAACAATTGGATTGGTTATTTTTAAGCGCAAAACCACATAAATGGGCTATTTATGCTCTGCTTACCACGGGTATTGAAAGCCGATATTTAGGATCGTAAGCCTGCAGACTTATCGCTGAGCCACTGATGGAGGTGATATTATGACAACACTTGATACATATATATCCAACATCATAATAGATCTGTTTGTATATCCACTCCGTTATGCATATTGTATGCTTTAAATTTAATTACTACCCATAGATACTTAAATAATATCAAACTTAAAACACATACTTTATTTAGTTATTGAGCTTGAGTACCAAACAGAACATTTCCCACCCATTCTCTCATCTTGTATATAACAAACATTAATTTCTTGCCATTTTATTGACTGCCAGATATAGCCAGATCTCAAAAACGGATTGGTTTAGTATCTATAAGCTTTTGTTACACATAGTTTATAAATATTCGGATCGGTTTAGTATTCGTAAGCTTTTATTACACATTGTTTATAAATACCCGTACCAGTTTAGTATCTATAAGCTTTTGTTACACATAGTTTATAAATACCCGGATCGGTTCAGCATCTATAAGCTTTTGTTACACATTGTTTATAAATACCCGGATCGGTTCAGCATCGAT